CACCTTCACCTGGCGGCACCCCACCTTCACCTGGCGGCACCCCACCTGGACCTGACTGCAATTCTAAGCAGTAATAAAAAATCCAATTTATTAGATTTAGACGTGGACATGAACCTCTTAAACAAAGTCGTTAAGTAAGCATTAATGCCAGCTTAATGACAAATATTATTCGTTTTGTATACGACGTTTGAAATAAACTTGGTTTCTGGAAGTCTTTCTTTATTAACACGTGTTTTTGTTTTCTTTAATTTGTGTCAAATATGTACACAAATCCAAAAAACACTTTGCATTCACCTCTAAATTTTTGCAGTTTTATTTTTCTTTTATTTATTTGTTTATTTGTATACAGGTTACAAAGACCCCTAAATATATATACATTATAGACAAACATACATAACAATATAATAAAACACTATTTCTAACTAATCTACACGAATTGCACTTGTTGGCGACGTGTGGCGCAATCTGGCAAGGCACCCTTCGGCGAAAACTCTTCCTTCATGAAGGTCGGTAGATGTTCGGTCGGCACTCTCACCACAAACGAATTAAAATTTACGTTGGGGCGGGACTCCAACCGCTCGACCCTCAGGGTGTATTTGGCTTTTAGGCTGATGTACTCCACTATCTCCTCAGACTTCGTGGAGTACTGCAGTCGTGACAGGTACAGCAGCGTCGTCGATACAGCAGGAAGTTCGATCCTGTCGGTGCTGTGCCACACTGGTTACGGCTGGTGGGCTTCCTCTTCCTCTTCATCACCTTTGTGAAGCCGTCCTCATCGCGCCGGTCCGTCTGCCTCTGTGGTTTTGCAACTTCAGAGACTGGCTCCCGGGGATCTTTTTTGCTCTTAGCCGATTGCCGTTTCGAAGTGGCGGGTGGGCTGGTACAAGCGGCTACAGCGGCGTATGCACGTGCAGGGGCTGACATGTACACGCGTGACGTTTCCGCTGGGACGGAGGTGCGGGCAGCAGGGCGCGGCGCATCACGCGCGACGACAGCAGCGATCGGTGGCTCAACCATTAGTGCCGACTCGACACTGCTGATGGACGCATTTTGCGCCCCGCGTCGCAATGGTATCGTAAAAAAAGAAAATAATAAAAGGCAGGAACAGGAGTATGCAAATTCCATTATTCTCCATACCTTCAGAGAGGTGCACTACCCAATCAACTGTCGAGAAATAAACTGTATTACAGAAATCAAGGTGTTTAATATAAAAGTGTACCATCAAATAAACTGTGATGTCGGTTACATTTAATAATAAGATTTACCGCGAGGCCTTTCTGTAAGGTACGCTTCGTTAACACCGCAACTTCTATTACTTACACGTAAAGAACATAAAACCAATTCCAACGTTTTGCTCTTGCGGATGCGATATAAGCCATTATTTACCT